ACTGCCGTTCCACTGCCGTTCCACTGCCGTTCCACTGCCGTTCCACTTCCGTTCCACTGCCGTTCCACTGCCGTTCCTCTGCCGTTCCACTGCGAGAGTTCCAGAGAGAAGCTAAGGGAATTTTATTGATTTTAAAAGAAGTTCCATGAGCTTCTAGGAAGTGACAGAGATAGATAGAGATGTTAATATCACGAGATCCCATCCAAATAGGATGGTGCTGTCTTCTGCAAAGCTATTCAGTACTTACTAGATGGTGCTAAAACGAAAATGATCAAGTTGCGCCATCTTATATACACATTATTGGTATAACGCTATCTACAGATCCTGCTCATATGGATGGTTCCCGTCTTCAGCAAAGATGTTCAGATGGACCAGACCTATTTTAAGGTAAACAACTTGGTTCGGAATTCACTCACCAGGCGGCGCTAGTGTGACATAAATTTTTCATTGTTTGCCCTAATTTAACATATGGACTAGATAGGTTTCCTTCTTCGGTAGAGTTGTGCTGCTGAGTATGCAAAACCACAATACTTTCCAAGCCCTGCCCTAGCAGAATTTTCCGCCGTTAGTATGAATGGGTCTTTGGGTCTTTGAAAGTATCTTTTGTGCCGAGTTTTCATAAAAGGAAGAACTTCGGATTTTAATCTAAGTGCATAAATAAGGGTACCAACATCTTTTTCAGTGTCAGGATATCTAGTTTCAAGACTGTGAGAGGGAAATCACAAAACGGGTGTCATCAAAATACATGGCATGTTGAGAGATTGAGCTCGTGAGAGAGAGAATTTTCTCTCTCGAATTTGATTTTTTTTTGCTCTCTGGGGACTGGTTGTAAAATGGTTAGAAAATGTATGGGACGTCTGGTTATGACTAGTTCGACAGTGAGCATGCATAAGGGCCTATCCAGCTTTCCATGCTCGGTAATGGCGGCCTGTTTGTATGAATAAATGTATCCTTCACTGTGCTTTTTGACACTATCTGGATGTTCGAATTTCAACCCCTTCCCTTTCCCTCTCCCAGGAACAGTAGAAAATGGAACAACATACGCCCTCCAGTTAGTGTCAAAAAGCACAGTGAAGGATACATTTATTCATACAAACAGGCCGCCATTACCGAGCATGGAAAGCTGGATACGCGATGATCGATTCTCTTCGTCGATTTTCTTTTTTGTTAATAACTCGCTAGATTTAACGTTTCTCGGTGCGTTTGCTGTTAATTTTGATAACCAATACAACCTGTTACTACTCTGCATTGAACAACTTCTAGAAAATTCTTTCCCTTAGCTGTAGCAATGCAAAGAGAAAATCGATAAAGAGAATCGATCATCGCGTGTTCGCCCTTATGCATGCTCACTGTCGAGTTGTACAGACAGAATAAAAGTTTTATTTAATATCAAATTCATGGCTTTCTACAACATCCTCTCTGTAACCGTGAATTTGATTTATTCCTAGATCCTTAACAGCTTCAGTGGAACGGTCACCCGGAATGGGCTTGGTGAGAACGTCCGCCTTTTGAAGCTCGGATTTGACGTGATGTAACGAGATCGCCTTCCTCTCAAGTTGTTCTCGTACGAAGTGGTGCCTCAGGTCGATGTGTTTGCTTCGTGGCGAATAGCCGATCTCCTTCTCCGGAAAACATATCGTACTTTGGTTGTCACTAGAGCCCCACAAAGTCACTTTCAATCGATAATCGTCAAGCGACGATGAAGCAGTCAACCATCACTTTCAATTGAAAGTCATTCTGCCTTCTCTTCGAGCAGATCCCCGTCAACATAAACAGAGCCACTTTCGATCAGTTTTAATGCTGTTTGTTTTGACTTGACTAGTCTTCATTTCTTCTTTTATTGTCAAATGAACTTACTTTTGCATTGAAGCGAAGCCTTTCGATCCAAATTCGTGCAGTTTTTATGACTTTTGTTGATTGTTCACTCGGTTCATTTAAGCGTATGCTCATAGATTGTTGGTTTGTTTACCCATGAATATCGGTATTTTTGAATTGGGCTGACGTCTAGAGCTCGAAAATTGATATGCGACGCCATTTTGAAATAAATGATGTCGGCTTCCAGTTTAAGAAAAAGTGGGAAATGCTGTCAAATACTTATCAATAAAGGTATTTTGGGAATCGTGATGATGTCTAGAGGATGAAAATCGATATCGGACGCAATTTTGAAATCGGAGATCGTGGCTTCGAATTTACGAAAAAGTGGAAAAATAGTCAAATACACATCAATATTAGTATTTGTAATCGGTATGAAGTCTACAGATCAAAAATTGATGTGCGACGCCATTTCGAAATCCATGATGGCGGCTTCCGATTTTAGATTAAGTGGGAAATACTGTCAAATACCCATCAATATAGGTATTTTTGGAATCGGGATGGCGTCTAGAGGCAGGAAATCGATATCCGACGCCATTTTCAAATCCAATATGGCGGCTTGCTATTTCAGAAAAATGGGAAATTCTGATGCCGTCCCATCAATATTTTGGAATCGGGGTGACGTCTGGAGATTGGAAATCAACATCCGACGCCATTTTGAAATCCATGATGGCGGCTTCCGGTTTGAGAAAGATTGGTAAATTCTATTAAATACCCATAAAACGGGTTTTTTTAGAATCAGGGTGACGTCTAGAAGCCGGAAATCGATATTCGATGCCATTTTGTAATCCGATATGCGGAAAAGTGTCAAATATCCAAAAATATGGTTATTTTCAGAATGGGGATGAGACGTAGATGCCGAAAATTGATGTCACGCCGCTTTTAAATCCAAGATGGCGGCTTTGGTACTGTCAAATACCGATCAATGCGGGTTTTTTGGAATCGGGCTGACATCAAGAAGCCAGAAATCGATGTCCGACACCATCTTGAAATTCAAACACCGCCATCTTGAAAGTCCGACACCATCTTGAAGTTTCAAATACCCTACAAATGGCATCGAATATCGATTTTCAGCATCTACGCATCGTCCTCGTTCCGAAAATACCCAGATCTTAGGGTATTTGACACATTTTGTGGATTCCAAAATAACGTCGAATATCGATTTTTGGCATTCACACGTTGTCCCCATTTCAAAAATACCCATATTGTAGGATATTTGACACTCTCTGAACCTTGATGGCCGCCTTATTGAATTCCAAAGTGGTATCTAATATCGATTTTCGGCATCTACGCGGCATCCCCGTTCCGAAAATACCCTACTGTGGGGTATTTTCGGATTCCAAAATAACGTGGAATATCGATTTTCGGCACCTTCGTGTCGTCTCCTTTCCGAAAATACCCGTATTGTAGAGTATTTGAGATTTTCTCTGACCCCGATGGCTGCCATCTTGGGCTCCAGAATGGCCTCGTTAATTTAATTTTCGTTTAATATAAAATAATATATTATTACTACATATAATCGGATGCCATCCCTATCGGCAACCGATATTGTGCGGATACTATCCAGATACTATATTTTGATGCCTGCGTCGTCAGGTCGTGACAAGTCGAATGAGCCCCGAATTGAAGTGAAAGTGGAAAAAAACGAAGGAAGCAGTTTTCGAGTCATTCATTGCGTCAATTGAAACATGTCTTTGCTTCAAATTCAATGAACTGAAGCACTTGACGAACGAAACAAGTGATAATCCAATCATGTCTGAAAAGAGGAATGTTAATCGTGACTCGATAACAAGAAATACGATGACTTACACGAAATTGATATTGCTCGAAATGAAGCGATTCTGTGGAGAGTTCATTTTCTTTTCTTTGTTTCGAAAATGCAGAACCCTGGTTGTCACAAAAGATTGCGACTGTAACATCTGCCTGGAACATCTCGCCAAGGAATCCACGCCACCAAACAGCTTCCTGTGTCGCACCTGACAAAGCCATATATTCCGCTCCACTAGTCGACAATGCCACAGTTTGTTGTCACCTACAACTCCATGCCACTGATCCGCCACAGTACTGAGACGTGTACCTTGTGACAAGGTCGTTGCCCCAATATGCTTCGCTGAATCCTTCGAAAATGATTCCGATTCCTTCCGGAAAACAAGCTTCTTCGATTTTGTGACCTTCAGATATCGGAGAATTCTTTTGGCCGCTATACAATATGTTTCGCTAGGGTTATTGCTGAAACTACTCACCACGTTCACGGCATAAGTCACATCCGGCCGTACTGCGTCGTCACAGCTGGTGATTCGCATACCGAGTACCTACTTGGCCTCTCCTTTTTCCATATGAAAATTCGCCATTAACTGCTTCTTCACGGAATCGATTAAAGTTTGATCCGTCGAAAACAGCAAGAAGTCATTCACGTAGACGGCGGTTACAAGTATTGTGTTGCCTTCTATTTTGAAATACACGCACGGATCGTAGCTATATCGCTTCAAACCCATGCGTTTCAGCTCCACTTCAAACTTCCAATTCCAGACTCAGCTACAGCGCCTTCACCAAACGACAAACTTCCTTTGGTGCCTTCCTGTCGACGAACCCTTCCGGTTGCTCCATGTATATTTCTTCGTCGGATAGCTCTCCATGAAGGGCCGCCGTTACCGCATCCATTTGGTGTATACGCATTCGGTGATTTAAACCTTATAAGGCCGTTTTGGATGTTTTAAAGCCATAAAGACATTTTGAATACCATTTGGTGATTCTTAGGATTTCATTTTCCTGAGTGGCAAACGACCTAATTATCCATAAACATTAGGTTCTAAGTAACATTGATCGATTCTCTTCATCGACCTTCTCTTTCGTTAATAACTTGGGTACAGAACCGTTGCTTGTCGTGTTTGTCATACTATAAGCTAGATAATAGCTTCTTTTATCGATCTATGCACTGAAAATAGTTGGGAATGTCTTAACATGGCCCTAAGGATGCAAAGAGAAAGACGATGAAGAGAATCTCTCAATGTTACTTAGGACCTAATGTATTGTTCAGCTTCATATTTGTTTCCCCTTCTATATTTATTAACCTTATTGTGCCCCAAGAGAGATTGCATACTAACGGCATAACTTTTCTATATCTTTAGCAGCTCTATAAACAACAATGGCTAACATCCTGTGGTCCATCATCTGGCTGATCATCATGATCGTCGTCGGCTTCTGGGTGGCCTTCTTCTGTGCCGGTTGGTACGTGCTGATCTATCCGTTGACCGTTTGCATACCGGACGTGGCGGTAAGTTTACTCAATTATGCCTTGGATTATCCTAATTCTGCTGCTTAATCACGCAACATTCTCCCACTTTTTAGGCTGTATCGGACTTCCTTCTTTTGGGAGCACAGTTTGTGCACTACTGTGCGAAGAATCTAGTGGAGGGCAAGTCGTTATTCTAGGATAAATCTACCGTTAGCGTACTGTCGACGATTTACACCGTTACGCAACGTTATTTTTTTATATTCATTATATTTTTTAAACGCGCGCGCATATTTACTGCGAAGAGGATTTTTTTTTTAAATATTTTATCCGAGGGCCAATCAACAAACCGTGCAACATCAAGTGCAAATTGTAGTACCATCGATTTTTATTAAACGAATGAAACCACAACAATGTTCATCGATCGTAAAGCTTTAACACTCATAAAATAGAAGCTCTAGTTTTATGAATAACGATAATCCCAATGACTTTGATTTCAATAGAGAGATAATCCGATTAAGAGCTACGCTTCTCTGACCCCTGACGCTTCCGGATGTGTCAAACAGGAATGAAAAATTGACTTGCAAAAGCCCGTGTGCATCCCGGATATGCGCATAAAATCAATTAAAAATTTGCCAAACTTGTCCCGTTCCGTTTCGATCCTATAAACCTCCCCTTCGGTAATTATTCCGTCCGGACTTTGACCATTCTACCACCAGCGCTGCGCTTGTCCGGGGCCTCCGTCAGAGCTATTCCGATATGATGAGCATGAGATGAGCAACGCTCTCAGTGTATTTCATATGTGTTCCTAACCCTGCCCCCTTCCCCAACCATAATGTATTCAAAATAATTAAAATTCATCACTATGCTAAATTTATTTCACTCACTTTGGTGAAGTTTTATGCATAAATTATATTAGATATGCTGAGAATGGTTGTTTGTTGCGTTTGCCATTTTCCCAGCAGCAACACAGTGCGGATGAGCCAACTACCACCCGTTCCTCCAGAGAGCCTGCTGAGCGTCGAGTGCTGGGGAGTTGTTGCTTTGAAGTTTCCCCATTCCTGGCTGCGTTAAAAGCCACTAGAGAGAGCTGTAGGTGCCAATGTTACAAAAACTCCTACCACTCGTGGCCTTTCCATGCCTGGCTTACTTCCGATGTCGTCGTCGGTGAATCGTACGAAGAAGCACGCGGTATAAAGTTCATTATATCAGAGTAAGATACCGACTGGGAGCATAGGCGTGCGCGTACGGGTTAAGAATATTTAAAACTGGCAAAAAACTCAAGCCGAAGAAACTTCGACAAAGTTCCATAAAGTGGTTCATTAGAGATTTAGCAGGAATTCGGAAAGTTTCCCGAAGGGGTTGCAACCTTCGCGCTCGGTCGTAGACAAACACGCCAATGAAAGTCGAATGAACCTACCCAATATCTAATAAGGGGGCTTTTGATGGTGGAAGAAAAATCAGTTGTGCGGGTGAAAAGTTGCTCCTCTGTCCTCTGAACATGGCCGCACTCAATCTGGTAATATGTGTTCTAGTTGTCCTTGGCGGGATGAGCGTTTGGTTGTCCAATGACAACCCACATCGTCACCGTGGTCATCATGGTTACATGAAATTCAGAAAATATTGGTGTCGCTGGGGAAAGTATAAGCCTAAAGTTTTGGGTCCATCCTATGAATAATGTTAATTAGACCGAAACATTACTAACGAGTGCGCAAACTTTGTCGAAACATTGTATTGTTTCTAAACGTGCTTTCGCAATTGGCGAATCAAAGCAAAGCCAAAACTGGTCATGCAACACCTAGTTTTAAGATCCACAATTGCAAAAATGATGATGAACTAAAAAAATGTTGTGCAATTTGACAGAAATTAAAACGTCATTACCATTTTCACCCACTCGCCACCTGTGAGTCAATCGTCACTTTGATTCTTCAATTCCGGGAATAGAACGAGTAAGAACTCAATTAATAAGCTACTGGTGCCAGGGAACTGGAGATCGGCCATTTCCCGCGTCACTTTTTAAAAATGACCAATCTAAATTGATCAGTTCTCTTCATCGGCTCTCTCTTTCGCAAATAACTCGGCTTGAAAATCGTTTTTTTTAGGGGAGGGGAGTAAAAGCAACCGGTGGAAACTAACGATTTAAAATTGGCTCACTACTTGACTAGCCTATTGGTCCCAAGCAAACGATTAACGTACCCCATTCTAGTCGAAATTCTAGTACTACACAATGTTTGTTTTGATTCGCTATGAAAGTTTGACAGATAAAATGAGGGGTTTATTGGTTTTTCCTATGTTTCGAGGGGTGAATCGATTAGCTTGGGACCGAAGAGAGTACCAGAGCTGAGCCAAACAGTTGAGCACGTATCTTCGCGACCTTTCTGGTCTTAGAGTTACCTCTATGGTAAAACCACATCTTCCATTAAAAAATTCGGTAAAAGGCTATGGTTTGGCAAGCCATTTGTGAGGTTGGTATGCTTTCCAAACCTTTTGTGACAACGGAGACAATGAGAACCGATGTTTACGTGCGTGAGTGTTTAAACAAGTGTCTGTTACCCATGATCTACAAACACGACGCCTCAGTACTGATTTGGCCGGGTTTGGCGTCGGTTCATTACTCCAAGGACATGGAAGTCTGGTATAAAGCCAACAAGGTCCAATTCGTACCCAAGCAGATGAATCCACCAAACTGTTCCCAGGCCAGGCCAATGGAAACTTTTTGGGCCCTGACCAAATCATATTTGCGGAAACATGTAAAGGCAGCGGTTTCCGTTACAAAATTTGCGAAAGGCTGGGAAAAAGTATCCAAAATTGTTATGGAAGGCATCTGTGCTGAAGCTAATGAGTAGCGTGAGATCAAAAATCCACTCCTTGGCTTACGACTGATCGGATCTCGGATTTTCTACGTTTAACTGTAAACTGAATACGAAATAAAAATAGAATTTGCTGTAAACAGAGTAACGTTATCGTTATCACGTTTTTTTTAAATCGTGCTTAGACATTCTGGGACACCTTATTGGCAAATCAAAGTTGGCACTCGTGGAGAATAGAAGAACTATGAAAATGATGATGGTTTCAAAATTTTCCACGGGGAGGTATACGAGTGCAATCTTAAAATGCTTTTATTTTGCAAATGGAACATTCTATTTAAATCTGGTTGCTGCTACAGTTGTAGAAAAGCTGAAATCTATGTCTACACCTAAAAATCTGAAAATAAATTATTTTTTCTATATTATATGTCTATTAAGTAGTCCTTAAGTTTTCTACTAAAGTAGCATTAACCAGATTTAAATAAAATGCTCCATTTGCAAAATAAAAGCATTTAAAGATTGCACTCGTATACCTCACCGTGTAAAATTTTGAAACCGTCATCACTCTCATAGTTCTTCTATTCTCCACGAGTGCCAACTTTGATTTGCCAATATGACTTGGTAATTTTTAAATGGAATTCAATTCTTATCACACTATTTGATTCAAATTTGATTTAATTTTGTTTGAAATAAATATTATAGTAGTTTATCATTGAAAATTGATCAATCTTTTAAGCCGCAATCAACCAATCACGTGCTTCTTCTTCTTCTTCTTCTTCTTCTTCGCATTTCAAGCTTATTGCATATCGCATATTTGCTTATTGCGTGCTCTCAACTTAGTGTTCTAGATGCACTTCCACAGTTATTAATTGAGAGCTTTCGATGCCTGTACCATTTTTGCATTGATATGATTGTGTGGCAAGTCCAATCATACTTCTATGCCCAGGGAAGTCGAGAAATTTTCCAACCCGAAAAATTCCTAGACCGGACCGGGAACCGAACCCAGCCACCTCCAGCATGGTCTTGCTTTGTAGCTGCGCCTTTACCGACTGAGCTAAGGGAAGCCCACGTGCTTGCATGCTCTGAATATCGAGAGCACAGAGAGAGAGACGAGCTGATTGGCAAATCAAACTTGGCTCCCGTGGAGAATAGAAGAACTATGAAAGTGATGATGATTTCAAAAATTTCCACAGGGAATTATATGAGTGCAACCTTAAAATGCTATTATTTTACAAATGGAGCATTTTTTTTTATAAATCAGGTTGCTGCTATGGTGTTAGAAAAGCTAAAATTTAAGACTCTGATTTTCTTTATATAATATGTCTATTAAGTAGCCTTTAAGTTTTCTAGTAACTTAGCATACACCAGATTTTATTAAAATAATTTGTTCGTAAAATAAACGCATTTTAAGATTGCAGTCGTGAAATTATTGTTTCAGGCGGCTGGTTCGGACTCACGCCGACAGTTCGCTCACCTGAAGACGGAACGGAATCTTCTTCACACGCTTGGTCTTGAACTCTTGGACACAGTTTCTTATAAAACTGTGTAGAGGAATCAAACACACAGTCAAATTAACGGGGTAACACATTTTTTATTGATCTTCAAATAACAATGGTTGTTAGGGGAATCAAAATTTTCTCCGATCGCGCTTCATGGCTTACTGATCTCCAACATCCTCCGGGCCAGCGACGGAACTGGCCTTTAGTAGAATAATCTTCGTAATCGGTCTGAGGTAGGTTGATCTTGAAGTGCGTATCTTCACAGTCCTAATTTTGCCGTCGGGTCCCTTGTAAGCCTTTTCGATAATACCTTTGGGCCAACATCCACGATGCAGGTTCTCATCGATGATCATCACCAAATCACCTACTGCATACTCGTAATAGTTTCGATTGTCTTTCCATTTCTGTCGTTGGATCAATTGTGGGCGATAAGCTGACACCCATTTACGCCAGAAACGATCAGCGTAAATTTGTGCATGTTTGTAGGCAGCCCTCGTCATCAAACTGCTCTCATCAAAATCGTGATCGTACTGCATATGGTTGTTCCGTCCAAGCAATAACATATTAGGCGTTAACGGCTCAGGATCATGAGGATCATCCGACACATGTGTTAAAGGGCGATTGTTGACGACGTTCATTACTTCACACAATGCTGTTCTCAGAACCAAATCGGTAGGGTGTCTCTCCTTCAGCATAGCGCGCAGTCCTGTCTTCACTGAACGCACTAAACGCTCCCAGCATCCTCCAAAGTGTGGCGCACCTGGAGGTATAAATGACCAGTGTTTCGTCTATCTGCTGCTGGTTAAGGTCCTTTATCATCTTCTTCAGTTCTTGATTGGCTCCTGTGAAACTCGTCCCGTTGTCAGTCAGGATTTTCTGAGGAACACCACGAATTGCCATAAAACATCGAATGGCCATTATACAGCTGCTCGTATCCAGTGACGAAACCACTTCCAGGTGTACCGCTCGACTTGACATGCACGTGAAGAGTACAACCCATCGCTTCTCGACACGTCGTCCAACCTTCATCCTCAATGGCCCAAAATAGTCGATTCCTGTAGAAGTAAAAGGAAAAACAAAGGGGGTCGTCCACTCTGGTGGTAGATTACCCATCTGTGCCACGCTTGGTTTGGCACGTAGCTCTCTGCATCTCACACATGCTTGTGAAAATTT